TTGCTGATTTAGTGTCTCGAAAATTATATTGAAATTATATATATAAGTCAGAGGCCAGAATTTCTGCAATTGACCGTATTGATTGATTTACTTTAATCGTATTCATTCTGGTTTTCATCGCGCTATTTAACCAAAAAAACATTTGGAAAAAGTAAAATAGGTAATTGTAAAAGCTTATTTCAGTACCTCAATTTCCATGAAAAAAGAGAAAATTTGATTGCGATAATTATTAGGAAGCATATTTTATTCAGTAGCAATTTGAAAACTAATATTTTCCAAAGGGTTTTCCTAAGAAAATTGAAGCAATTTTAAGCAATTTTTGAACGGTCCTCGTTGCTTGAATCAGTCGCGCACGACGCGGTAAGCAGGAGAGAAAACGACTTTGTACTACAAGATAATTTTGAGTGGATTCTGTTCTAAAACCATGACCTTTCGAGAGTCTAGAGACGTGGTAAAACTGCAGGGTATTCTTGTTATTATGTTTGGCGTACAACTTTCTCATTCTCAGGAAACTTCGCATAAAAAAGTCGTGCTGTGAACACACACCCCCAACCATGATCCTAACCCAAACACTCCCCAACMCTCATCCATCACAAAGGCGACCAGGGAGTTTCTACGTTATCTCTCCTAACTACTGCTAGACAAAAACACCTCTCTACAAATTAAAAAAAAACCATCATGTTCCAAAAAGTTTCTTTTTTGCACTTTTTCAAAATCCGTGAGCCGTCGATTCYAAAACATAAAATTGTATAATTTCCGCTGAATGTTTCCGTGAACAGGGGTGCTAATTTTTCCGCTTCTTTTGTGAAAATGTTTTGCCCAAAGAAACTAATATTTAGATAAGGCTTGCTAACAATTTAGTATGAAATGAAATTTTTTTTCCAGGGGGAATATCTTTTGTCAAAAATAATGAAATTTTTCTTTAAAAACAGCCCAGCTTGATGTTGCACGTTTCGGTATWGGTTGCATGTAACAGGACGAATTTAATATAACCTTCGGTGTATTATCACACAGTCTACAGTGCTATAATGAATACATATAGCTTTTCAAACMACTCAATTTGTTTAATTACGAACTTTTCAACGTGGACATGCGAGGTTATTACTTAAGCAAATGCAGATACTGCAAAAAACGWTTGAGYTTTGCATCGCGGGAGAAAAAAAGAGCTAAMGTAGAATGAAAACAATGTTTTAAATAGTAGCCTTAGCAGCGGCTGTAGCCAGCTCTCACGTAATTCGAATGGTCACTTAAAAGTCTTAAAATGTTCTTGACCTTTGTCTTCAAATGCCCGTTGAAGCACTTCAGATTTCTACATGTATGCCATGTTTGATTGGCAGCTCTAAGAGTGAATATAGATTCAACTSGGTAATATGTTTGAAGTAATAGAGCTCGTTGGTGCACATTGTATGCCGAGAGAACTGGACACACGCATAGCTTCGAAAAACAATTATGTTACCAGTTTGGAATCAATAACAAATGATCGAATATTCCAGAACGTTTTTTCTTAGTGTTTTGTTTGGTTTGTGACAAGAATACTTACTAGAGCGTATATTTACTCGACCCATAAACAACAGTGATATACTCCCCTTTTATTTATTGTACTAGTCTTTCTACCATACAATTTGTCCGGATCACCTATGTACAAATTATTTTACATAAAACAAGTTATTGTAAGTAAAACAAGAAATCCTATACATATCATAACGGATGAGAAAGAAATCGATTAAGTTCGCAGTAAGATTGTTGATTTCATTTTAGGAGGCATAAAAAAGCGACAATGTTTTTATCCAAATTATCCCTGTTTACCATAAAAACTAGACAACATGTAGACTTTTCACACGGCGTGCACACAATGCAAAGGATTGTGAATATTAATTTTCCTCTCGAGTTCAAGCGATTTTTTCAACGTGTCACAAGGTGAACATAATAATATCGTTTTTCATCTGATAGATGTCGAATTGCCTGACTTCTGCAGCACGTGTTCTAAGTTGTTTGGTTTTCTATCTTGTATTCTTTTGTGTGTTATAACATCAACAAAAAACCGACAACATCAGCTGAGACGGGTCTATTTATATAACACCTTGTAATTTTGTATTTTAAACTCATTATGGCACTAATATCGATTGCTGCAAAGCTCGCCTCTCAAATCAAAAGCTTCGGAAACTTAAAAATGTSGAYTTAGAAATCTTAGTGGAGTTACAAGCTTCTGAATTAGATGTTGAACAAGCCCTCGGAACAATTGCCTTATAATTGAATAACCTAAGTTGCTAATTGTAGTATAATCGCTTGAATTATGTCTTAGAACATGTATATGTATAAGCAGTTATGCCGACATCAATCATAGCTTTCGAAGGCTTATGTTAAACAATGCCTGGGGAAAAAATCCCGTAGTGTTAGCCCGTAGTGTGACAGATGTGGTAATCTTTTTCCTGGGGTGCCTTGTGGATTCAGTTGAAAACTTCAACGGTTTTCGTGTTATGTTTGCAAACTCGTGCGGTATAAAATTAACTAGCTTTCACGTGAAGACAGATAGTTTTTAATCGAAATTCACTTAATATGTCTTTGTTTATACAGCAAAGAAAGTACAATAATAATAACAACGATATATAAACGATCGCTTAGTATCTGAAGAACAAGCAATTACAAGTCGTTTACGTGTACCTTAAGTGTAGGGCTTTTGGAAAACCAATGTTTCGAGTTATCGGCTAAAACAGACATAAGTGTAAACACAAATTCACTGAACTGAGCCGATGTCACGTGCAGTAATCCGCAACTGCCGTTTCGGACTTGAAAGTTTCATCTTCAAGTGTAAATACTGCCTGCACAAACACGACCCGAGAGATGAAGTTTTTTTTATAAGTCTACACAGGGCAAAGGACACCGAACGTTCGCACTCTTTTGTGTTGTCATATTGAACCATTGAATAACCAACAGTCTCCAGAATAATGACAATAATAGCGCGGACGGTTGAGACACCTACGCGATAGTAACTCATTAACTGCTCCRGCTAAGTCCAATTCTGATGTATGAGACACAACAACGTAAAGGTCACCCAGTAAGGCGGAGCTTAGAGCCGCAAAGCAACCCACATGGGCGGACTCTCCTTGTCAAACACGTCTATTTTCTTGTTGGCACTAGACAATAATAAATGTTCGCCTAGTTAACAACTGGAATTTAGCCAATCAGGAGGCAAAGTCTTCAATACATGGCTTGTTCCTATATTAATGCGATTGGTGGTCACTGCGGACGTCATGTTCGATGTGTCAATTTTGACGCTCCTGCTTGTAGTGAACAAGATGAGACGATTGAGAATATTGTTAAGAACACAGTTCATCTGAACGGTCTTTAAGATTTCGTAAATTTTACACAGGAGCTCGAGACAGGGGAACAGACCGACATAGCGCGCACTGCCACAGAACTTTGGCCTAACTCTGGGCTTTCAGTAGGCCGTGGAGTTGTGACTTCGATTGCGTTACGTTAATTTATTTAAATCTCAAGTGGACTGAATTGAATCTATTTGACTAAGTCTCTCTGTGTCTATGTTATTACAAGTCTGAGAATGGCTAACTCTGCTGCCGCTAAACTTCCTTGCTCAACGTTCGGATGTTCCTACTCGCCTCAGGTAAGACAAGACTAACGGTTTTCAGGGCTTAACAATGTACACGTTCTTTGAAATCTTGTACAATAATGTGGATATACGATCTAGACAATTCGTCATCTCTGATTTGTGTCTGTTGTAGTTGGTACTACATGGTAATACGAACACTTGTTGTGAARCAAGTCACCAAATCCAGGATGGCTTGCCTGGACATTCAGTGTGTCCTTGCCAATTAGATCGAGTTTTACAGCACAGAGTAGCTTCAATGCCAGTCAATGTCCTTCCAAGACCACCATTTGGGGATACAGCATATTCTATCGGTAGCGGCTCTGGGCTATCTGCCTTTTACTCGCCACTGGTATGTGTCTGGCGTATCATGTCTACTTCGCGATAACACATGTAAATTTCTTGAAATCAACTCCAGTGCTACACGTTTAGATTTGTSTATTTTTTCCTTGAATTGTGCAGTTAGTCTTATAGATATACATTACTGTAATTAACACTAATGATGCCTTTTTTTCTGATTTTTCTTTTCTCGAATCTTCCTTGGCGCAACAGGCAAGAGCGTGTGAGATTAAAGATGTTCCACAGCCATGGAGGGATTCGTGGTTCTTATCKCATGCAACTCGCGGGCCGTTCGATATACACGGCTTCGATCCGCACTCGCACGGGGCTTGTACAAGATTCGCGGAAAGGTACAGCAAGTTTTAAATACTATTAGTTTGGTTGTAAGTCCGTGTCACCCTGTTAGGACACTTTGCGTTGGTCCCATGGACCTTGCTGTTCGAAAAATTCTAATCGCCACCGTATGATCCGCTAACGATGCATCGTAATATCGAAATATGTCCTTTAAAGTATTTAGTTTTAAAAATCTTCTTTAATCGTATCGGGTTGTATCCTAACTGACACTTATGTGTACATAGTTGAGATGTACTTCACCGGTACAGTTTAGTACTATTTAAGCGAAGATTCCAAACATATACAAGACTGGGACGTTTGGCATTATAATGGCGCGCGCCGTATGTCAAAACTATMCTACTTTAGAAGTCCAAACTCTAAACATTACTCTTATCTGTTGCTAGATTTTCACCAATCGACCTAGCTGCGGCTGGAGCCCGGCGGAAAAACGCTACTCGAGAAACTACAAGCACTCTCAAAGCCTGGCTTTATGAGCATCGAAAGAACCCTTACCCCACTAAAGGAGAAAAAATTATGCTCGCCATATTAACAAAGATGACTTTAACTCAAGTTTCGACGTGGTTCGCCAATGCTAGGCGACGATTGAAAAAGGAAAATAAAATGACTTGGTCGCCGAGAAATCGATGCGGCGAGAGAAAGGACGGCGGGGATACGAGTGATATTGAAGACGTTGATTTGGACATGAACAGTGATGACGAGAAGACAGATTTCCAACAACAAGAAAGAAAAGGTAGAAATCTTGAACAACTTTATTCCTTAGTTCTCTTAAATAGCTTTTAAACAGATGTGTATTCGTCTGTTCTGTATATGTTGTGTGTTGGTTTTTATCTATAATAAAAAAAGGCCAGAAAGTGGGTGGATTAGCTGATTTACTGAACACGAAACGCTATTGTTTTAACAAAAAAAAATAMGTCGAAAGGTTTTTAAACAAGGCTGAATTGTTATTTTTACAATAACACGATGAAAAACATGTCGTCTTCGTAAGTAATATTCTTTTATTATATTCAGCCAGCAGTTACAAATTTAACAGTACCACCGACAGTGCATGTCTGACAAAGAGCTCAGAGTCTGGCTAGAATTTTCTGTTTTTAGTTAGTTTTAATGATGATATTGCTTATTGAGCAACCTCACAAATCACTCCTGTATTTATATCTTAGATATTGAAGTTGACAGTCCAGAAATCAAGAAAGAAAATACTGATTTGAAAGAGGAGACTGTTGAGAGGGACACCACAACAGCGCAGGACAGTCCTGAATGCCCTTCGGAACGAAAAGAAAATTTTCCTAGGGAGACAACAGGCGAACATTCGCCAGCAAACCCGACGAGTCCTCCAGCAATTTCAAGAAAAGATTTACAAGTTTCACCATCTACAGTAGAGTATTCTCCGGTTAAGAGTCTAAGAAAGTGGGTGGATGGGTGTTTCGTCCATAACTCTGTTGTTACTTCTTGTCCAAGCTCTGTCCAGTCACAAAGTCCTGTAAATACTCCCCCAACCAATTCACCGGAAAGAATTTCAACGGAAACTCCAGTAATTTCGTCAGGTAATTTCCAGTGTTCTTTCTGAACTACAATTATTAATAAGTTCTTGTTTTTCTGTTAATCCCCCAGACATTGTATTATATGAAGGGTTTAGTAAAGTAAAGATAGAGCATGGTCTGAACAATTCAATCCAGACATGTTTTASTCTTCTATTTGTTGCTCGAGGAAAATGAAATTGCTCTTCAAGGACTTCTAACTGTTGTCTGTCCCTGAAGCACGAGAAACGCTGAACATTCACCGAGTTTTTGTCTATGCATGTTGAAGATGTCTGGTCGTTTGATAGTCGGTTTATTAAGACAATGTCTCTMTCARRGAATTAGCAATGTTTTCAAGTGTTGTAGCTACGCAAACACGAAAATTATAAGAGCTTTTCCTGGGTGAAGCAATTTTATTATTTCGTCCACAACAGCCCTTGTTTTTTCCCTTTCAAATTGTAGTGATAGGTATTGGGGTTTAGGAGTGYCTTTCTGTAGAGACTGACGTGTTTTAAGTTGAGTTTTGGATGCGTTTAAGGGACTTAAAGCCCTTTTAAACTTTTCATTCTTTGAAAAGAAATGCAATAAAGATTATCTCTTGAAATGGTACATACATTGTACAATTTTGAGACTGAAAAATCTGGCTTGCTTGGCGTTAACCAACCGSCCTGCAGATTGTTTGCGAAATGTTTGGCAGGATTCCACTGTTGGGCAAAGTTGACCTCCACATCGAATAAGGTTTATTCTGTACTGCTAATCAAAGGTTATATCGAAACAACATAGGGTCATTTCTTACGGACAACTTCGTTTATTTCATTCAACAACTTTCTTGATAAGRGGAGCTCTGCAGGCGCGATTTGTATTTTTATTCTGCTCACCAGTTTAATACAAAACTCAATTCAAGATAACCAAATACATGTTTTCCACCCTCGGGGTAGGAGTTTGACAAGATATCGCCTGTAAATAGAACATGGGTATGATAGCCTTGATAATGTAGCTTAAACTGATATATTAATCAAATACTTGGATCCCATGAACTCCTTTATGGCCCATATTCACCAATAGAAAACCAGGCAGAGATGCGAGTATTCAATTATATATCGACCGTTAATCAAATAAGTTCTATCAAAGCTTGTTTAAGTAGTTAACAAATGCCTTATCGAAATCGGTGTATTGAGGACAATGTTCACTAATCCCAATCTTATGAGCATCTTAATGTTCGCAAATTCTCCTWGGGCCATCATTCCATTTACTGGAATTCATTAATTTAAACAAGCGACATATTATATATTCTAACGGCGATAATGGCTATTTATYTAGATATATTAAAAAGCACTTGGTAAAATCCTAACTCTAATAGTGAAGGCCGATTTTTTTCTGTGAAGTAGAGTCTCAAGAGGTTAGCATTCAAGCTCGGTGAAAAGTGTCATCTTTAAAATTAGCCACCGTCTGGTGAACACTGGAAGCTGAAAAAAAATATTAAAACATTTTGAGTTATCAAACATCTTATCTAAATCCGTCTTTAATGTTGTTTCTGCAGCTCCAAGTTCAAGAATCCATGCGAAACAAAGACGAGAAAGTAGCGAGACAGAAGACCGAAGTTCTGTAAACTCCAGTCCAACARCTGAAGAGAATGAGCGCTCRGTYGCGCGRTCCAAACACGACGAAAAAGCGAGATTTACAGTTATTTATCAACCCTCAGAGAAAAGGTAATCATTCAAGTATGTTTTATTATCATTTAGGTTGTTATTATTAAATAAAATGTGTCGCTTTTTACTCCAGTTAATGTTATGTCTTTACAAATGGCTTTCTTTAAATGTTTTCGCATTTGGCTTTCAATGCATAGATCCAACTGTGTGGACAGCKAAGTTGATAGCTTTTCCRAGRCATTTTGGATTCTATTTCATTTGTTATTATTTTTCTTTCGGTCCCACTCACCATAGACACAAGACTCAAACACTAAAAATTTCACCGCAGAACACAACCGCTTGTCAGCCAGTGGTCTTTTTTTAATAGATCCTTGTTGGACTTATATTGAATATGCGGTCATGTTTTGTCTAATAATACTACTTAACCAACGATTGCACTCGTTTTTAAATTTTTTGTGTGTGTTTTCGTTTTTCAGACCTAAAGAACAGGCAAATTACAGGGAATTTGATGCAGCTTTAGCATTGACGACGCTTTCTTCTCGTTGAAAAATGACGACGAACTTTTAGAATGGGATTACTGTGAGACCATAGCTGTGTCCTGGAAAAATGAAACAAAGAAAAAAAAAATCAAAACGGGTTAAAAAGAAATGAGTGAAAATTTCTATGTTTGTGGAAGCTGGTCAAACTAGCATCCATTAAAAGTGTTAATAAGCACAAAAAATGTTCTTTCATTCGTGTTTTTTTAGTGTGTTAAAAAGGGTATGAAATACCACATTCTTGACTTATTTTAGTATTGATTGACGTGTTTTAAAAACTAAAAAACCGTTTACGACGATGCTAGCATGGACTCAAAGTCCTAAGGCTAGCAGCATGTTTATTTGTTCAATATGAACAATAATAATGAAATCGACTGAAAAGAGTATTTGTCAGTTTAGAGACATGGTGTTGAAATTCCCACAGAATACACCAGAGCTTTTAATTTTGAGAGTTGCTGTTTGTAGATAGTTAAGTCTTTTTGAAATAAAAATCGCTTTAATAAAAAAATCTTGTTTGGTTAGTCTGAGAATGAATTGACATGCCAAGTTCCATATATATCTCGCCGGGTTTGATTACTGCTTAACGGCCTGTAGATTAACAAAATGTTGACTTTAACTTCTATCTAAATATCCACACTTTATTGCAATGTTTTGTGTTGTGAATCTGTCAATTTTTCTAACAGTTCATTATTGAACTTGTAATCTAGTGGTTTTGTCTCTGTTGGCGTTGTGGTTATTTTAACAGGTATTTTTCAATTGTGTTCGGGGTTTTGGGGTAGCAAAATTACAAATTATTAAATGCTCGACTTGGATTGTCTGTCTAGACTTTGTGCAGATTAGAAAATGGTAATGAATAGTTCTGAGTTATGTTTTTGACCTGAAAAAAGAAGTACGGGGTCATTCTAGTTCGATTCTTCGCAGCAAGATTCTACTTTGTTCTTATTTAAGGCCCACTGTTTTCCGTTATTTAAAAAACTGTGTCTGGAACAAATGATTTAGCGATAAGCACAATAAATTCCCTTGTAGTTATTAATATTTTACGACTGCTTTACTACCTACTTATCCACGTACACTAATAACGTACATCTTCAGTTGTTTGTGGGCGTCGGTTTGTAAACTTTACCAGTTGAATTGCTGGCCAACCCTCATGTTGATACCTGTTTTCCTTTATTAATCAAGGAAAGCTGCTTCACAATGACCAACCAATGTATTTGAMAAATCCCACATGTAAGGCCAGTTCTGGCATTATAAATAATAAAAGTTATTCAAAATGGCGGATCAAAGGAATCGTCGCGCGCGCGGCGAAACAAAATGGCGGGAAAAATTTAACTCCGATTGCATTGAAGAAAAAGCTCTAAATATCATCAGAAAGAGGAAGCCAATTTTGTCAAATGCGAACGCGAAGTAAAGATAATATAGAATGTTATATTTTTAGCTGACTTAATGGGCTTTATCTTTTTTGAATGCTTAGAAAATGATTTCATTTTATCAAGAAACAATCTCGCCAGAGACTAGAGTTGATTTTATCATATTGTGAACTAGGTAAAAGCTTCGCTTTCCATTATACATGTCTTGTAATGTTTTGAACTAATTATTCATTATTAGTGAGAATCTGGAACGTTCTGTTGATCAAATAATTTCCTTTTTCTATGAAAAGTGTATTAAKTTTACTGAAAAAAACCCTTAAAATCGTRAAACATTWTATTGTGAATCCRCCATTTCATTTCTTGCGGCTGTCGCGGTTTACATGATAGTGATGGACATCCAGTGTTGCGAATTGAGTATTCCAGTAAAGATAAAGGAAATATGGTAGCTGATTAAAAGTGAAATTACTTCATGAACTTAATTGAAACTGACAGAATTAATAAACCAGCAAAAGCACAATGAAAAACCGACCAACTCATGAAAAAATCATGTTAAAATTATTACWTGGTATTCTTGGAAATGAAATTATTAGTCAAGTATTGCCACCTCTAAGATAATTAAAATGTTAGTGCAAAAATCCGTTTTTGGTGGAGTCTTTCACTCGAAAACCTTAYTTCAAATTAAAARTATATTGTAYAATCTATTTTTGGTCCAGAAAAGTGAAGAAGGAGCTTTTGTATCAGATACATTTAATTGGGAACCGCTATTTTGTTGACATTTTCACATAATGAAATGGTCCAACCCTGTAGGAGGGGATGTTTTGAAAATTTTAATTCCACTACAGGTTAAACAAACGGGTATATTACAAAACATGGTAAAAGCTAGACGATGATTTTTACAAAATAAAAAAATATYATTATGGTGCTTCATTATAAGAGGTTTTTTTAAGCATGCAAAAAATTATTGTAATGCTAAGAAAAATCTCGAATACTAAACAATGGATTTACATCCGATTTTAACAACGTCTTCTCTTTTCAAAATATTGGGAACTGATTAGTAAATGTTATGTGGAATTGGTTTTGAAAATAGTCTGAATTCAAAGTAGAATTCAAACGCAAGAAGCATGGCTCACACTTAAGTTTAGGACAATTTTGAATTATGATTTGTGTAAAATATCAYGTACAAAAGTTTGAATTATTTGTTTCTGAGTATGGTAATTCTATGAAATTAGGAAATCTTGATATATTTTTTCTCTAGAAAGCGTAACTATGGTGATTTATGTTATTCCGTTGTTAATGATAAATACCACTTCTCTAATCCAATCAAATTGCTGCATTTTATTGAAGTATAAACTATCAACAAATTAATCAAATTCAATGATTTCAATTTCCCTATTTGTCACTAACAGGTACCAGGCTAATATAGAAAAGGCTCCTGCATTCTATGCATTGCACACGGTTGAACGGGAGCTGAGGACTTACAGGGCTCATGGGAAATACGATAATTAAATGTGATATATATATAGTCACAAACACTTTATTTTAGAGTGATACACTTCAACCGTGAAATAAAAATAATACTAAGTAGCAGTAAATTATACTAATCCCTATTGGTCCCTATTGGGTAACCAACAATGGAAACTGATTTGTTTCACGGATTTAGGGTGTGCACTAGTAAATTACTTACTTAATTAAGTTACAGTAAGGCWGGAGAAGCTGGCTACTTATGTTCTTCTATAAAACTGTTCCTAAACGATCTTTTTCCTGGGAGATTCTCACACTCTTCAGTTGTAGACCTTCCCTATAGTAGCAAATAACTGGGACAAAACAATTCCCTCCACGTCACTAAAAGAATTAACAACTGTAACCCTTGACGTAACAGTCGACTTCTTTGAGYTTCCATGTAAATATTGCAATTTCTGCCCTAGATGTACTGTAAACTCTTGCTGGCAACCACTGATTACTTTCATCTGGCTGGGACGTAGGAACGGATATATTTCTCAATAACCCGTTGGCCCCTTCTAAAAATATAGGAGCTAGTTCATACTGCGACATAAGCATAAGTCCAAAAAACAATAGATTTAGGGATTAAAAGGGATGAAGAAGACAACGGGAATTAAGGTGATTTTCTCTGTTCATTCTTTAATTAGCTGGCCTGTATTGAAGTATGAAACTTTTTAATGAACTTTATTGAACGTTGTTAAGTATTGTACTTACACTGGGTACYCTAAKAACCCACCCCACCCCTGAAGGGTTTCTTAGTTACTACATCATGAGAGATGCGTGGTAGTCTGGAACCATTGCACAATAATCCTGTAGAGTTGTTCAAGTCGAAATCTTGCTGTTCAGTCGATAATCTGTATAGTTCCTGTCAAAACGTGATCTCTGAGTAAATAAACTTTGCTCATAAAGTCACCCTAAGCTTGTATTAAAGTTGCGATTACAAGCCAAAGTGGTCTTATTAACGGCGTGATTATKACATGCTTACGTCATTAGACAGAACTGTTGGAAGGCAAGCTAATCATGTAAGGTTATTGGGACGTACCCTCTCTTAGAGACAGAGACAMCAGAGACAGTTTTCTGTGCAGAGGATTAGCTTGTACAAACACATCAAGATACCGAAGTATTGCTTTTAATTAACGGATGAATGATTGGTTGATTGATGAGAATATATGAACGAAATTTTATTACTAGCAAAGTTCGACGTACATTGCTGTATGAGTAACTAAAAGTTGTGGGAAAAGTTGTGTAAAGTATCAGTGTACGATATAGTAGTATTATCTAAAATAAATATAAAATCGTAATCACGGTAAGGATTAATTATGTAAATACAGAGAAAGTGAAGTGGCTGGTTAAGCTTGTTTCGGCTATAACTGACTGTCTAATGCAACCACCAGCGGAAACGGAAACATTTAACTTCTGAGTCACTTTGTTTCGTCCAAATATTACAACATTTAATACAATATCATAATATGCTTGGTAAATGCTTTGTAAAGAATCAGACTGTAAAATAATGTCATTTTCACACGTAGACACTGATCAAATTGAAAGCGGATATATATTTGAACGTCAGCATGTAAACGCCCTGCAGTACGTTTATAAAAACGATTTTTAAATCAAACTTTATTCAAAATGCAATGAACGGGAGGTAAACTCTGATTCAAAAAGCTTAATTCACAAGCTTAGTCTCCTTTACTCGTTTTTCTAGCTTGTTTGCTGTTTGCTACAAAAACAGAWTCATAGATAGAATGTAATTAGTGAAAGCCTCTAAAACCAAGGTAAATATAAACAGGAGAGTCAGGAAGTTGACGCARTGATCTTTTTAGCAGAAATACRCGGAAAAAMCCAGACAATAGACCMATACTTAGCAAGCACTTGGACCACGAACTACACTTAAGACTCAGGAATCACGCGGTTTCCGTGTCCATTTGAATGRTAGCACTCTATGACGTCAAAGCGTTGCACATGTTCATTCGTASCTTGAGGTTGTTCCTTTAGTCATGGAAACAATTGATCCCCATAGGGGCTCCCACGGGGGCTCTTTGCGTTCACTGTGGAAATCAGMAAGTCAAGCCAAAATTGTTTTATTTGACTCGCGAACGTGACTATATTGTTTTGTATTGTTTGAATGTGTTCTGTATGAAATTAAATCTATAATTGTTCCATAACTGCGTGTTCATTTGGCAAGTGTAGATTCCCTGTTGTCGCGGAAACGCCCTTCGACGTATTACTGAAACAATCAAATTGTAAACGACTCTTTATTTCAACGTGTACAGCACCTCTCGATCACATAATAGAGTACAAACACTTAAAGCGTGAAAAAGGACGAATAGTGCTATTAAATAATAGCGTAATAGAGCAAACGCAGGAAAACCATGAAATAAAATCAAACTAGATACTAAGAAATAGTGACTATTTAGAGACAATTTGTCAGTATCGAAACACAACGCAATAAAGATTAAAATTAAAGATGCTCCCATGTGGATTCATCTTCATTGTGTTCTGGTTCATTGACACGACAAATCCAGGTCTCAAAATAGCCGCAATTTGTTAGTATTTAGTTTATAACTTTATTTCATGGCTTTCCTGTGTTAGCTCTATAGTTTAGAAGAGAGTAAGTCATGCACTAAGGTGTAATCGAGTGTTAAATCTATTTC